TTTCGCAACTGGCGACGTCACTGTTGTAGTAACATTAACAGATCAATGTTCAGATTGCCACTATCGCAAAGGAGGGCAGTGTCAACTTGACAGCAGAGAGCAATTTTGTTGTGCCAACAGTTACCGTAAGATTTTTCTGCAATTTTAAATAATCAAAAAATAACTAGGAGAGATTGGTTACCAAAATGCTTGACATGAATTAAAGGGTTTATATAAAATTATTGGTTTTGATTTTTTTTTTCTTCTTCTTTTCCTCATGCAGAGGAAACCAGAAAGAAGATGTGGAAAGTGGCAACAGGTAGAGCACTTTAAACACCCAATTCAGTTTTATCATTTTATTATACGATCGATCAGGATCCAAAATTAATTATTCTGTAAATCACTTTTTTTATAATCATACAAAGGCCACACCATTCAGGTTCCGTTCGAGTCTAAATACTAGCCAGATTTGTACGTCACGTTGGTTTTATTGCTAAAAGGCAAAATCTTGACAAGCCGATCAACATAAAGGATACCCTGTAAACATTTTTGGTCTCTTTTTATTCATACACACAAAACATTCCTTTCTTATATACACTAAATATTTTCCTTTTATATTAAAAAATTTTCCAGCTTGGACCGTGGCGGCTGCTGTACTCGTAGTGCTGATGGTCTTGGTTTGCTGCTTCAGGACAAAGATATTATATCCTTTGTGTTGGAAGGAAAATCCGACACATCGCGTTATTGAGAACATTTTGAAGGAACAGGGACCCCTTACCACAGCCAGGTTCAGTTATTTAGAGGTTAAGAAAATGACCAACTCTTTCAGAAATAAATTAGGACAAGGGGGATTTGGTAGCGTGTACAAAGGGAAATTACATGATGGACGTGTTGTTGCAGTAAAAATTTTATCTGTATCTAAAGGCAACGGAGAAGAATTCATCAATGAAGTTGTGAGTATTAGTAGGACTTCACATGTTAATATCATTAGACTTTTAGGATTTTGTTTTGACAATACTCACCGGGCTCTAATATACGAGTTTATGCCTAATGGATCTCTTGACAAGTTCATCTATGAAGACAAAAATGCATCAAAGGATGTTCAACATCTGGATTGGAAAATATTAAATGATATTGCAATTGGCATTGCTCGTGGATTAGAGTACTTATATAGAGGCTGCAACACTAGAATTTTACATTTTGACATAAAACCTCACAACATATTACTGGACGAGGATTTCTGTCCAAAAATTGCAGATTTTGGACTTGCAAAAGTGTGTCCTAGAAAAGAAAGTATGGTATCCATATTTGGTGCCAGAGGAACTGCAGGATATATTGCTCCAGAGGTTTTTTCCAGAAACTTTGGTGCTGTGTCACACAAATCAGATGTTTATAGTTATGGAATGATGATCTTAGAAATGGTTGGAAGAAGAAAGAATATTAAGACAAAAGTAGACCGGTCGAGTGAAATATACTTTCCTCATTGGATTTATAGTCGTCTTGAATCAAATTCAGATCTTGGTTTAGAAAATGTGAGAAATGAAAGTGAAGATGAAATGGTGAGAAAGATGACAATAGTGGGCTTGTGGTGCATACAAAGTCATCCTTCAACTCGACCAACCATAAGCAAAGTGATGGAAATGTTAGAAAGTAAAGTTGATTTATTGCAAATTCCACCTAAACCATTTTTGTCTTCTCCTTCACCATCTCCGCACAATTTGTCATATGAAAGTTTTAGTTTATAAAGATCGTAGTGTTACAATTATTTTTTACTTTTAGTTTGATGTCATAAGTTGGAGAGTTTTTTTTTTTTGTTTTTTTTTAAAAATGTCTTTTCTCTATTATTCTTAATAAAAATATTTTATCAAAATATATACAGTAGATTTTTGTCTTATAAGCCTTGTCAGTATAAGTTTAGTTTTAGGAACATATTTAATACAATGTCTTATTTTGAGATCTTATACTATTTTGAAGTGAGTTTCATTGTTCTACAGAGGATGTAAGATCTTATTTAATTTTTACTCTAATGTTACATATCTTGCTTTGAAATTTTAAGAAATTTTTGATGGTCTCAATTTAAATCTTTTTAGTTTTTGAGAGTTTTTAAGTAGAAGATCTTATATTTAAGTTTCAAGTGAATTTGGTAGTAAAGGTATTCTCAGTATAAAGTATTTTAGAAGGAAATAAAGACAACTTATGTATTTGAAGTCATGTAAGATTGTAAATTAGTTGACCTGTATGTTTGCAAACTTCTGAAATGAAAAAAAAAAAGACCTTTGATTTTTATTACAATTTTTTTAATATTATTAATTTTTTTAAAAATTGTATTAACTCAATACCTAAATTGATATCTTCATTTTAAGGGATAAAGTAAAAACATACAAGGTTGGTCCAACAATTAAACAAACAAAATTAAATAATTTACTTCATTACAAGTTTTTAAAGTTTAATTTGAGAAGCAAACAAAGGAAGGATAGAAAGTGAAAATTGTGATTTGAATTAAGTAAAAAGAATGAAAAATGAATATAAATGAACAAATGTTTCAAAAATATTTTATTGATATTATTAAATAATAATAAATTATAACATTACAAAAAAAAATAACAATCTATTTTAAGAACAAATAATAAAAAATCACTATATTATTAATAACTAATTAAATACGAATTTATAAATTTAAAATTATTGATATTTATAATAGTATTTATTATAAATAAAAATTTATAGTCAATTTATGAATTATATCTATATTGATTACTAATTATAATTATTTTTAAAAAATTAATATTTAAATTTGAGGCTAATTAATAAATATTTTGAAAACTAAATATGAAATAAAAAAATTTGAAGACTACATAATTTATCAAAAAACTATATGAATTTGTATTTAGCCTACTATGTGACTAGATAAGTGTCTTTCCCAAGTAAGGGTCGTTTGTATCTACCAATATTTTTACATGTTTTCCAAGTCAACCCTCGAATCAAAGAAGTTCATTTAGATGAGTTGATACATGACATTATCTACTCTGAAGCCCATGTAACTGCCTAAGATTAAGGAACACTCACCTTAGCGCATTATCCTAAATTATTGGGATTTTGGTTTGGCTCTACTTGATCTGCTCTGCTTCCACTTGTTTTGTTTTCTCGCTTTGTAACCATTCTCTGTGCTGGGTATGCAAATGGGCTCCAACCTTGTCCAGACTCCTTTACCTGTGGCCATTTTTGGTCTTTTCATTACCCTTTTACCAAGGCAGAACAACCAGACTGTGGTTTTGCAGGACGGGGTCAGGGACAAAATCAATGGGAGAAATTGACTGGAAAGCTTAGCCAGGTTTCATTGTTGTAATTATGAAGACAATGACCTGTTTGTATCTACACTTAACTTTTTTTTCCAAGTCTTCCATGCTCTCATCTTCCAAGTCAACTTGCCAATCAAAGACGTTCTTTAGATTAGTTCATTCATGACATGTATATATTGTGAATGGGGTGAGACTATGCAAGATTAAGAATACTAAGCATAACATCATTCATAGAGAATCCGCTCACTGTTAAGAGATTTCATCACTTGTTCCTTAAAATATTGTTTTACCAGCTACTAGCAATTGGGAATTTGGTATGGCTATCGTATATTTGTTCAACTTCCTCTTGTTTTATCACCTTCTACTCATCCTCTGTGCCGGTTATGGATATGGGCACCAAGGTTGTCCACACTCCTTTACTTGTGGCGATCTTGGGTCTTTCCATTACCCTTTTACCAAGGCAGAACAACCAGACTGTGGCTTGATACCCATACATGGTTGTGATAATCCTCTATCAATCCAAAAATTGATCCAGCTGGAGTAAAATGGAAACTACTTTGTGCTTACAGGCAACATTCAGCAGGATGGGATTTTAATTTCGGATGAAGATTTGCACCGGCGTTTACAAAACAACATCTGTGACACTTTGAATAATAGCTACAGTCTTCAATCCCATTCTCCTTTATACTCTTATTATGTAAAATATAATGTGACACTGTTCCGATGCAAACATGACCTCAATATGAAACCCCCACCACATTATTTTAATCATTCCTGCACTGAGTATGGTTATGATATCTATTATGACAGCCTTTCCTTACCAAGGAATGATGAAGCTCATAAACTTTTCTCATCCTGCTCAGTTCTTCACTTAGCAAAAAAGGACAAGGCCGATACCACAGACATTCTATCGTTTTTATCTGCTCAGATGACTGTTCAAATAGTATTATCTAAGGATTGTGATGAGTGCTATAATCTCAGAGAAGGTCAATGTCTTCTTGACCGCGATCATCAGTTCTACTGTCACAAAGGTACGGTTACATTTAAAAACGCTCGAGATCCATTCACGTTCATAATTGCTGAAAGCCTGATGTCTTCTTCACTCATGTAAAATTATCTCGTGAATCTGCCCATACAACAACTATAAAAAGCGCTTATTAAATCATCAAAAAATAAATACAAAAGGCTGCATTAGTAAATGTTTGGAATTAATTGGTTTAAATAAATTATTTGCTTTGATTTGTTCTATCTCTCTTCTCTTGTGCAGAAAAATCCCGAAAGAAGATGCCGGTAGTGGCAACAGGTAGAACACTAAATACTCGATTATCATTTTGTTTGGATCGACCATAGTCTACAAATTAATAATTCTGTAAAACTGGCTGTTCTTTTTATCATACACGAGCCAACATGCAGGCACAAGTATAACTTCTAGGTGTTAGTGCGGGAAGACTTATCAGAGAATTATGCAGAGATGTTTAGGGAAAGGTAGAGAGAGCACATAAAATGAGAGAACTGAGATATATTTTCATTCAAAGAGTATTGCCTTATATAAGGCACAGTACATAGGTAACGTAGAACTAAAGGCTAACAAACTAACTGTATTATGACAGTTATATATAAGTTTGGATTATCACAACACTAGGCATATTTGTTACATTTGTTTTCTAACAAAAAGCCAAAAGTTAGTCCAGTTCATCAAAAGAAATGATAGATCATTAATTTTGCTTGACATTTTCTTTTTATATTGAATAAAATTTGCAGCTTCTGCCTTGGTAGTAGCTGGAGTCGTTGTTTTACTGATGGTCCTGGCTTGCTGCTTCAGGACAAATATCATCTCTGCTATTACTCTTTTGTTTCCAAGGGATCCAACCCATCGGATTATTGAGGGGTTTCTGAAGGAGCACGGACCCCTTCCTACGGCGAGGTATAGTTATTCGGAGGTTAAGAAAATGACAAACTCTTTCAGAAACAAATTAGGCCAAGGGGGATTCGGTAGTGTATATAAAGGGAAATTACACGACAGACATGTTGCGGTGAAGATTTTAAATAGATCAGAAGGCAATGGAGAAGAATTCATCAATGAAGTGGCAAGTATCAGCAGGACTTCACATGTTAACGTTGTCAGGCTTTTGGGGTTTTGTTTGGATAAGTCTAAACGGGCTCTAATATACGAGTTTATGTCTAATGGATCTCTAGATAAGTTTATATATGATGACAAAAGTTCAATGCGGGCTTCTTGCCAATTGGATTACGAAATACTATATGATATTGCAATTGGCATTGCACGTGGATTAGAGTACTTACACAGAGGTTGCAACAC